TCTCCCTCCCTCCTTCCTTCTCTCACTACCTGCCTCCTTTCCTTCCTTCCTCCCTCCCTTCCTTCCTCTCTTGCTCTTTTTTTTTTGTAGTTGTCATACAAAAACCAGTTTATTTGTAGCAAATAAGGAGGTCACAAGGGATAACTTCCAAAGCCTTGACTCCTCAAGTACTGTTTCTGACGTCACTGTAAGAGTTCTTTCACTTGTTCTAATAGGCCTTTGTCAACAGTGCAGATTGAATTAGGCTTCATGCATTACCTTGAGTGACACATGTCTGCCCCAAGTGACCTTTCTCCCCATATGCATGGATTCCAGGAGTCCAGGTAGTGTGGAGATGCATGGAGATGGAGTCTGAGTTGGAGGAACTGTCATAAAAGATGGAATCCCAGCTCTTACAGCCGAAGTGCAAGGAGTCATGATGACTAAATGTAACATGGTATCAGGATGGAATCCTGGGAAAAATGACGTTAGGTAAAAACTAAGACAATATGAATAAAGTATGGACTTTGGTTAATAACAATGTATCGATATTGCTTTATTTATTGAGATGAATGTGCCATATGAATGTAAGATGTTCATCAAAGGGAAAACTGGGTTTGAGGTATGTGGGAACTCTCTATATTATCTTTGAAAATTTTATGTAAGTCTAAAATTATTCTAAAATTAAGACTTCATTAAATCACCCCCAAATATAGTGTCCCCATTCCCATCAGAATATTTAACTCTAGATTGGCCAGACCATCTTAAAGGAAGAGTGTCATCCATATGCCTTCTTTATTTTTTAAAAGATTTTTAATTATTTTTAAGTCATCTCTACACCCAGCGTGGGGCTCAGACTCACAACCCTGAGATCAAGAGACACACACTCTACTGACTTAGCTGGCCAGGTGCCCCCGCATATGCCTTCTTTAAAGGGTAGTTATCAATACCACCTGAATCATTATTGTGGCCTGAAGAAGATCCATTTACCTGTATCAAAGACAGGGTGTTGAAGTCCTGGATGTGTGGGCAGGAAGAAGAGCCCACTGGTGCCGAGGTGCACGTTCTGCTCCCAGGGTGAGTAAATCCTGGGCCATGTCTGAGTGACTCTTAGGAAAGGACTGACCCATGAGGACATATTTCAGGGAGTTCAGGCAAGTTTTGAATCCCTGGCAGAGCCAAAGTTCAGGAGCTGACAGTGTAGCCAAATTTGTGAGTTTAGTCTGAGAATGAGCAAAGGTTGCAGGCATGTAAGCCATGTAACTGGGTCATTCACAAGAGGGTTCAAGGGCTCTAGGTTCCAAGGTCTCTAATTGGGTGCCCTGTAGGGCAGCATATTTCTCATGACAAACTGTTAAATAGACAGCCTGGCCAACAAGATGCCTCTGTCCTCCCCTCTGGGGGACACTGCTGAGGAAGACGAGGGATTGGAGAGCTGGAGGGAGGAGAGAGAAATGCCTTGGCAGTCTGTCCCACTCTTGAAGCAGTGACTGTTTTTCCTAGGGCGGAGCTTACATATTCAGCAGAATGGGCTCAAGAGTCCCCCTCAGATTCACGTCTATCTGGAACCTCAGTATGTGACTTTCGTTGGAAACAGGGTCTTTGCAGATATAATTCTTTAAGATGAGGTCATACTGGATTCAAGTGGGCCCTAATCCAATGACTCTTTTCCTTACAAGAAGAGGAGACACACAGACAGGGAGGAAGGCCACGTGGAGTTGGAGGCGGGACATGGAGTGATGCAGCCGGAAGCCAGGGAAGGCCAAGGATTGCCAGGAGCCACCAGAAGGCAGGAAGAGAGACTGTGGCCCTGCTGACACCTTGATTTGGGACTTGTAGCCTCCATAACTGAAAGAGAATACATTTCTGTTGTTTCAGGCGACCTAGCTTGTGGTTCTTTCTTATGGTGGCCTGAGGAAACCAAGACATCTGACAGGGCTGACTCTGGGATGGTGTATAGTACCAGCTGCCCTTGGCGGCCTGAAGCTTGGTACTTCCTGGTCCCTGGCAGATCGGAAACCTGGGGCTGGAGCCTCATAACTGTGAGCCCCAACATGGTCCAAAAATTAAAGAGTAATTAGCACAGGTGATAACACGGGTTATCCCTACCTTCTACTCCCCACAGTGAAGGCTTGCCCATGTGGGATCTCCTTGTGAACACTTTGTCCCATTTTCTGAAGGAACTAAAAGGTACACATTCCTCCTGCAAAGTTTGCCCAGTGGTTCCATGAGATGTGCTCACGTTTTCTTCTCTAGGGGTTACCTGTCCCACACCTTCAAGCAGAAATCCCTCTCTTTTCTGATCCTTGATCTGCCTGCTTACCTTGGCCTCTGACCACACGATGGTCATGGTGTGGCCATAGTCTCTGACAGTATGAACCGTCCCTTCCCAAACCTTCCCTCCTAGGGAGCAACACCTCTTTCTTCTTTATCTTCTGACTTCCTCCTTTCTGATCTCTGTGACTTAATTGCCTCGCCCACTTGCCTGAAAGTGTTGCTGTTTGCTTGAGTTCTGTATTTGATCTTCTGTCATCACTCTGCAACTCTCTTGGGGAACCATCCAGGGCCTAGCTCTAATTGCCACCACCATGTGACCCCCTAGAGCTGTGTTCCAGTTCAGGACCCTTCCCTGAGCTCCAGCTTCATATGGCCCATGCAGGGTTTCCACCTGGCCTACCAGCCCCTTGTGACTCAGGGTGTTCAAAGCACTGGATTGATGGTCTCTCTTCCCTCTGCTAGAACCACAGACCTGCCCTCTTCTGAAAAGAAGAATTCATAAAGAGTTTCCAATGAAGATTTGAAAGATAGATATTGAACAGTTTTGAAGGAAGTAAAACACACACACAAAGAATCACATTTGGCGCGAGTGTAGGAATCACTCAATCAATAGACTGTCAAAGCTTATCTATACTAACTTCTATTATGATGCAAGGGGATCTCAGGACACAATTATACATTAAAGGAAAACATAGGCCAACATATAATGTGTTTAATAGCTCCTTCCAGCCACCTGAGTGCCTTTCCAGATCTTACCCCTGATGTAGAGGCTACTCTTCTTGGTCACCTTGTGTTGCCCTCGGGCCAGCTTGAACCCTTCGAAGTCCCTTAAGTGGATGCAAAAGTACTTTTTCCCTGTCTTCATCCTCCTCTGTGCAGGTAAGTTCTGCCCTTCTCCTCTGCAATGATGTCTTTCTGGCCTTGCTCTTGGTAAACCCCAGCAGGCTGATGAGACTAGAACCTCCCGTGTGAGTCATGGTTCTGAGCTTTGAGGCTGTCTCACTTCTGTCTGTACTTCCTGGCTGCTCTCCCTTGCTGCTCACGTTAGCTGCCTTAGGTCAGCGTCCAGGCCAGCAAACATCTCTGTGAAATCACAGGCAAGATCAAAAGTCTGCAGTGGTCCAATGGCCATTAAAACACACACACACACACACACACACACACACCCACACACACACCCCAAAACCTTAAAGTGTCTCTGGATCTAAAGCGGGCTGGAGAGTTGAGAGATGGGATGAGAACACATGTATTAAAGCTTATTTCCAAATGTGGCGTTAAGCTATTGAATTCCATCACTAATGATGTTAAAATCCTGGCTCTAGAGGCCCAGGAATGTGCAGGTGAGGATGCTTGGGTGGATGACGCTGGCCATTTCCCTTTGTGTATTCATGCGCAGTTTGTTTTTGAGATATCCAGTAATGATTAGAAGTGTGCCCCCAAGCAGCTCTGGGCTCAGCTCTGGCACTCATGTCCTAATTAGGTGGGTTTTGACTCATCACTATTTACTTGCCCATTTTTCCTTAACACAGTGCTTGCCTTGTTTTATGCAATTAGAAGGAGGAAGCTCACAAAAGTCATCACATTGCAGAAGAGAGATGACAGAAAAGATCATTAATTCTATCTTCTGTACAAATCCCAGTAGTAATTAGGGACCTACGTAAACAGCACCGCTTAAATGATTTAGTTTGACAATCGCTAATAACAACTCCAGCTGTGTGGTGGTGGTGCACTTCATAAAAGCAAAAGTGATTAGTTTGCTATATAATCCAATTATCGGAAAAATGTAATTCCCATAGCAACATCTGTTATTACTGCCTTGTAAAAGGGCAGGCAGAATATTGACACATCAAATTGTCCCTCAGCCTGAAGAACAAAGTAAGTGCTTCCTCCCCTAGAGGGCTGGTGCCCACACTGTCTCAGGGAGTTCTCCCCTGGGCAGCAGGTAGTGTGGACAGTGTGGGGCAGAACCTACTTCTCAGCAATCTCTTTTTCATTACCTGGGTGAATTCAAGAAGAAATGCTACCGAAGTTAAATCTTGGGGGAGAAGAGTGGCTCCAGAAAGATGATTGAAGTTCACGTGAGGTTGGGGCGGGGAGGGAATTTCTACACTTAGAATCAACAAGCAGTTCAACTTCAATATGTATAGTGCTCCTTGGATGTGTGAGGACATGGGCCAGATGCTAATTACAAAGGAAGTGAGACACGGCTTCTGGTGTCAAGGAGGTTCCTTCTACCCGTGGACCATTAGGAACTGACGTTTCCAGTTCTCCTGGCACTTGGTCACCTGCTAGAATTTGGGCATGGTCACGTCCCTTACTTTGACCTATCAGAACTCTCGAGTATTCCTCCACTTCCCTCTCTCCCTCCCAGGAAGTAGGCAGTGAGTTTTCTTTTCAATCTAGCCCATCCTATCACAGAAAGTCAGACTTCCTGCCATAGCTGCAGGTGGACCATCAGTGCGAGGACAGATACAAAGGCACAGTGGTCGGCATGTCATGGGCCTTGGCAAAGGGTATTTTTCTTTCCCCTTTCTCCCTTTAAAATCTCACGAAAAAGGAGAATTCTTATTCCTCAAAAGAAAGCTGAATTTATGTGTATTTTTACTGCAGCAATGTCTAGCAATGTTTCCATGGGAGGTTTCTTCCTTTGGGGTTTGGGCAATGGCCTGCATGATTTTACAGTTACAATATGTGATAGAGTCTGATAATTGCCTCCCAATGCTTATTCCCCTCTTCTCCCTTAGTGATAGCATTGCAATATCTAAATGGGAACATTGTGCCTCAAGCTCAAAGACATTTGCTAAGGTCCCTGCAGCTATGCAAGACCAAGTGACTGCTGTGATGGCTGCTCAAGGAGCCCCTGAAATAAAGGGTTGTTTGGGATTGCTGTGAAGGTTCTTTTTAAGGGAGGAAGTACCCCTGCCTTTTCTTTTGCTCCATTCTGCTGCCTGGGATGGATATGCAATGGTTGAAGCTGTAGCAGCCCTCTTAGACTGTGAGGAGGAGGAGGGCCCCATACAAGGGACGGTGGAGAGTGAGCTGGCACACACCTTGTGTCCTCAATCACTTTGCAGAGTGCCAGGTAAGTAATGGATTGTCTACGTCTAGTTTTCTTCCAGATGAAAGAAACATAAATTTCTAATTTGCTTAAACTACTATTTTAAAGTTTTTAACAAATGTATTCATTCATTTAAAAAATTATGGTAAAAAAGTAAAATAAATTTCCCATCTTTAACCATTTTTAAATATACATTTCAGTTGTGTTAACTATAGTCACATAAACTGCTGTTGTTTTGGCTTTTGTTTCAATGAAGCCAAACCTAATCCTAAGTAAAACACAGTAGAAGCTCTTTGAACTTTGCCGCCAATTAATGACCTTGTGAAATTAATGGTCCTGTCCATTTCCTTAGTGAGATGTGCTAGTTGTTGCTCATTACAATGTTCCTGCCACTAAACTACACACTGTAGGACAGTGGTTCTCAAGCTTACCTGTGCTCAGAATCACCCGGAGAACTTAACATAGTGATCACTGAACTCTGTTCCCAGTTTCTGATTCAGTTGGTCTGGGGTGGGGTCTAGGAATTTCACATTTCTAGTCAGTTCCCAGGAAACACTGATGCTGGGGTCTGGGGACACACTTTGAGACTGATCTAAGGACACCACAGTCTTCTGTCCTTGTAGGCAGATCTGAATGTTACCAGGCATCAATGTATGTCCTGAAATCTGTGTCTATATATTATATTTAGAAATTTATACTATTACAACTGTAAGTCTTTCCAATTGTTAATCTTTACATTGAAAATCTTTACAATTATAACAGTGTAAATTTGTTTATACGTAACATACTTGTGGTTGTAATTTAACTAAATCTCACATCAACCTATGAAAAATAGTTGAAAAAAGGGTTGTTACTATGAAACTAGCTGAATGTTTTTTGCAAGGACTTAATAGAGGTGATCACTAAAATCATGTATGTGCCGCCAAAATGAGCCCAGGTACTCTCTAAACTAGAGAGTGTGTGGTTTGGTTTGGTGGGGCAACTATTAAAGACCAGAAATGAAAATCTATAAAAATTTGGAGGAATTATTCCTTCACGTTGCTTTAACGGAGTCTTTAAATGATTGTTTTACTTTAAATAAATCAAGGCTGTAAGTTGGAAGTGACGTGCTTTGGTTGTGATCGAGTCAACAAAGATAAAATAGAACTTCAATCTGTGCATCCCATCTTGAAAAAAACCCCAAAACCCTTGGAGAAGTGGCAAACAAATGCACGCTTCAACTTTTAAATCGAGATAACATTTAAATTAAAAGTAAATGTTTAAATTAAAATAAAATATTTAAAGTATGTTCCCTGGGTCCTTGCTTTTTCAGTCAACTGCTTGTCTTAGCCTGGGTTATCCAGAATGCAGAGCCAGTAGAAGTGGCTTCTGGGCTATTGCTTTAATCAGGAATGAGACCCAGGCAGAATGAAGAGAAGGGGCATGAGGCAAGGAAGGAGGGGGCACTAGTGGGAAAGTACCAAACTGAGCTGGCCTGCACTTGCAATCATGTGTGACCAATTTTTTGATCTTACTGGACCATTTTCTGAGAGGCTATATAAATGGGTGCTTTTCAGGACAGTATGTCTAGAGTAAAGAGGGAGAAGAATTTACATGCTGCTTCCCCTCTCCCGTTGGCTAAAAGTTTGCTCCACGGAGTGTTGATTTTCTTACACTCCCATGGAGGCACTTACGGGCACTAGAGCTGGCTGCCTGGCAGGTGACCAGTGCAGTCATACAGGGGCCCAACCTCAGGAGGGGGCTGACTCCCTGGAATTTAATGATCTGTAGTTGTTGTCTTGAAATTCTTAATAAGCATGTGCTTGGGGGCTTGGAATTTCCACACACAACATGTCCTGCCTCTCCTCTTTTCCCTGATATCACAGATACACTGTCTATTAGCCTGAATGTTTTGGGGTGATGAGGCACATGGTGAGACAGTGGAGTTCATGGTCATGTGTCCCTTGTTACATTTTCTCTTCTATCACGTGGGTCCCTTGGACCAAGGCAATGTTCTGTGTGATACAGTGTCAGTAGAATAGGCATTTATAAACCCTGGCTGGCAGTGCTGTTGGAGGCATTGTGGAGACAAAAGGCAAACCTTAGCTCAAGCAGATGTCACATCTGGAAAGAACAAGTGTTCCTCATCTAGGGTAGCAGGTGGTATAAGTGTAATTCCTTGAGGAATAATTCTATGCTAATAAATACTTCAGTGTCAGTCTCTGCTCTTGGCAGGGTGGGCTTTCAGCAGTGGTATTAGCTGTGTCCTTTTTGATGGGGAGTAATTCATGCTGTGTAACCCACCCATGCCATGGTAGCTTGGATGAGGCTATGGATACAGCATGGGTCTATTGTACAAGCACTATGGTGGCCAGGAAAGAGAGGCTGGCTCATATCTGTAAAACAAGTCACCCTGTCCATCTGGTGGGTGAGAGCCTTCACTTCCTGTGGACATTAACATGAGACACAAAGATCTAAACACCTGATATCTCCTTCCCTTGATCAGTCACGTGCCTCTTCCCCCGACCTCCTTCTTCCTGATAGTGCAGTCTCGTTCCTTTCAGGACTTGACCAAACAGGCCATTCCTTGCCACTGCCCAGGAATCTCTGCATATCCGTATTTCAGGCCATTCCATATTGGAGTAGGCAACCAAGCAGACTACTCAGAGGTCTGCCTACAGGGAGAATTTCCCTTCATCCCTGTCCTTTAAGTCTGTTCTTCAGTAACGGAGCTGCAGTCTTTTATTTTATTAGAATTTTTTTTTTGCTTTATTTTGTTTTATCTTATTTTAGTTTTGTTCCAATATATTATTATTAACCCATCTATGAATCAACCTTGAGTTCTTTCTCCACCTCTTATTTGGCATTAAGGAATCCTCTATGAGGCCACAGGAGTGGGCTGAGGAAGAGGTATTGATGCCATCGAGACAAGTGAATGGGAGTCTGGACGACCTATGCATGTAATTTTCTTAGACCTCATTTTCCATCATTTAGTGGATTGCTGTACTTGCCTGACCTCATGATTCAGTGAATCTAATCATATCCAGCTGGACGGGCAATTCTCAAACTCATTTGCATAGTCAGTTGGTATCCCAAGGTCAATCAGTCTCTACTAGGACCCAGTGGCACACCAGGAGGTGTTTTTTAAATGGAAATTAATTCTTAGCCATAGATGATGTGGCCTTGCTCTATAACCCTAGTATTTTGCAACTACTCTCCCACTGCGGCTTTCTGAAAAGCCACAGGATATTCTTACTCACCACAGATGCTTCCAGCACCACCAGACCTGGGTAGTGATAAGGTGGCAGAGCAGCTTGCCCCTCCACTGGGACTCCTGCATCCTCAATCCAATCCCAGGAGAAAGGGGAGGGAAAAGGGGTAGGGAAGCAAGAGAGGAGAGTGAGTACATATGAGCAGGCATTAGTCAACTGGCCACTACTTGGAGCTGAGAAGGACTGATTTCTCAGGGCTCCTGGTTGGCTCAGTGGAGCATATGACTCTTGATCTCGGGGTTGTGAGTTCGAGCCCCACACTGGGTGGAGAGATTACTTAAATACAAAATCTTTTTTTCTTAAAAAGATTTTATTTATTTGAGAGAGAGAGTGAGAGAGAGATAGCATGAGCAAGGGGAGGGGCAGAGGGAGAGGGAGGGTCAGACTTCCTTGATGAGCAGGGAGCCTGAGATGGGTCTTGACACAACGTGGGGCTCCATCCCAGGACCCATGGACCTGACCCAAAGGCAGTCGCTCACCGGACCGAGCCACCCAGGAGCCCCTAAAAATAAAATAATGAAAAAAAAAGAATGACTGATTTCTCAATCTTGTGATTTCATTTTCTGACAGGCTTTGTTGTGTTTTGTTTTCAGGTCTTTTCATAAAGAATGTCGTGGAAGGAAGAACCTGTCAGTTGCCATTTTGCCTCAGTCAAAGACCTACCCCACGGGGCATTAATTTCCTCACATTTCCAGTTGCACGTATGTTAGAGATACACACACACATACACACACATACACACAAGCAGGTCCCCCTCAATAGGGAGACCCTCCAAAAAAACCTGGAGGTCGATGTGAGAGATGTAGGGTGTGGGCACAAAAGTAGACACTGTTAGGTTGTGGCAGCTGGGTCCTGAACGAGTGACCAAAATCCTTGGATTCAGTTGAGACCAAAGTAGCACCATAGTAGCACCAAAGAAGTGTTTGATTTATTTATTTTTTAAAATATTTTATTTATTTATTTATCAGGAAAAAGAGCAGAAAGAGGGGGAGCGGCAGAGAGAGAGGAAGAAGCAGACTCCCCACTGAGCAAGGAGCCTGATGTGGGCCTTGATCCCAGGACTTGGGATCATCACCTGAGCTGAAGACAGATGCCTAACTGCTGAAGCACCCAGGTGTCTCAAAGTATTTGATTTATTGGGCGCCTGGGTGGCTCAGTTGGTTAAGCAACTGCCTTCAGCTCAAGTCATGATCCTGGAGTCCCAGAATTGAGTCCCGCATCAGGATCCCTGCTCAGCAGGGTATCTGCCTCTCCCCCGACCCTCTCTCCTCTCATGCTCTCCCTCTCTCTCATTCTGTCAAATAAATAAATAAATAAATCTTAAAAAAAAAAAGGTATTTGATTTATTAACCAACTACAAATCCCAGATGAACTGGGTTGGAGGGCTTCTGTTCCATTTATCTTTTATGTATTATCATTTAATAATCAGAGTTATTGACCATGATTGTCATCGACCCTATCCCAGTGACCTTTCCCTGCAGCTCCTAACTCATGTGTCCGACTGCCCACTCAATCTCGCCACATACACATTTAATAGGGTGTTTCAAACTTAATGTTGCCATACCAGAACTCTTAACTCCTCCCACATCACCAGTCTTGCTTCTTTCTCAATGAGTTGCTCAATTCTCACATCTAGAAGTTATACTTCTCTCTTTTCCTCGGTGTCCTCTCCCTTGACTCATCCCCATTTGCTCCAGTAACAAGTCTCCCAAGACATGTTTTGCATACACTCACTTACCACAGAAGCCACTTTTACCTTTGCTTGTATTATTGAAATAACCTCCCTTCTACACGTGCTCCACCTAGAGTCCGTTCTTCCCAGAGCAGCAGGAGTACTTTCCTTTCCTTTTTTTTTTTTTTAAAGATTTTATTTATTTTTTTGTCAGAGAGAGAGAGAGAGCATGAGAGTGAGCACAGGCAGACAGAGTGGCAGGCAGAGGCAGAGCGAGAAGCAGGCTCCCTGCTGAGCAAGCAGCCCGATGTGGGACTCGATCCCAGGACTTTGGGATCATGACCTGAGCCGAAGGCAGCCGCTTAACCAACTGAGCCACCCAGGCGTCCCAGCAGGAGTACTTTCTAAAAAGAGAACACACAGCCTGTCACCACCATGCTTAAACTCTCTGATACACCTCCTCCTGTAATTAGCATAAAATCCAATCACATAAGCAGTCTGGGTTGTGCCTATCTCTCTGACTTTATCTCATGCCACTCACTTCCCCCACCAGGGCATTCTAGCCACGCTGGCTTGCTTTCTGTCCCGGGCTCTTCCCTCTGCCCGCAGCGTGCTCCTCCCTGAGCTGTGCATGGCTACTTTTTCCTGAAGAGTCCACAGATGCGGGGTAGCCCACCCGCTTCCTGTCCCACCACTCTACAGTAATCTTATTTTTGTTTACTATCTCTTTCTGGCCCCTCTCATTAGAGGGTGAGCTCCATGAGAGCAGAGAACTTACTGTTTTTCACTCTTATATTTACTGAACTGAATCTAGAATAGTGCTTGGTGCAACATGAGTGCCCAATAAATATTTCTTGAATGAACGGTTAGATGATACGTGTAATAAAATTATATACATGTAATAAAATTCATGACTAAACCAAGAGTTCCCCTTTATAAGTATAAAATGTTTATGAGGTATATTTGTCAAATAATTTTTTAAAATGGCATCCTGTTTTTCATTTGACTGAAGAAAACATAGAAACTGTTTCTAGAAGACTAACAGCTTGGGCCCCATGGCCAGATAGGTCAAGTAGGCTTCCTTATGGAGGATTCAGACTGGGGATCAGTTTTTGCATCCAATGGCTAGAACCTTTGTGGATAATTTCAAATGGACCTGGTTGAAATTAATTCTTAGGCGGAGCCTTGGGAGGACCAGAGTCTCTCGCAGGTGAGGAGGAGAGCTTTCAAGCCCACCCTGGGCCGGTGAAGCTATTCTGTTACATACGTGAGAGCCATTCTGTTACAGACATACATGTTGCATAACATGAGAAACTCATTTTAGACCCATTATATTACTGTTGGCTGCTTTCTCTAGAGGAATGCTCTCATCCTTCTTTGATGTTATTTCTGAGGTGGCTCTTGGAAATCATCTAGTTTAGTCTTGTTTTATGGATGAGGAGAGTAAAATCTGGAGGGAGAAAGCAACTAAGCCGAGGTCATTCTGTTAGTCAGAGGCAGAGTCAGGACCAGAATTCAGATCTCCTAACAGAGCCTCGAGGCCTTTAAAATATATCACCTCACCTGTTCCTTTAGTTTCTTGCTCTTAAAAAAAAAAAAAAAAAAAAAAAAAAAAAAGCCCCAAGGGATTTGCCTTAAAAACATTCTTGTGAATCCTGATGGGACCACGTTGGGTATCTGAATGTTGGCAGTGGTAATAACTAGGAAGGCACTGATCTTCCTTTCTCATTTTGCTTGAATGTTCTTGATTGGTCATCAAACACGTATTTACCATCAAGGGAAGTAATTGTGTTTTCAGTTAGGACTTCAGTGAGACCTATATAAGGGGGTGCCTAGGTGGCTCAGTGGGTTAAAGCCTGTGTCTTTGGCTCAGGTCATGATCCCAGGGTCCTGGGATAGAGCCAGTGGGTTAAAGCCTGTGCCTTTGGCTCAGGTCATGGTCCCAGGATCCTGGGATCAAGACTCGAATCGGGCTCTCTGCTCGGCAGGGAGCCTGCTTCTTCCTCTCTCCCTGCCTACCTCTCTGCCTACTTGTGATCTCTGTCTGTCAAATAAATAAATAAAATCTTTAAAAAAAAGGACTTCAGTGAGATCTATATAAAGTCAAGCGAACAGTCATATTCCAACTAGTTACTCGTGCTGAAATTCACTAGAAAGAAATTAGCGTGGGTGTGCTTTCTCACCGCTCCAATTTGCTTCCTAACGAATCAACAGATGACTCTTGACTTTCCCCTGCAGGTTCAGGCTTGCAGAATTTCAGAAAGTTAATCCAGGTCTCAAAAAACCAGAACGGTTTTTCCTTGTACTGTGTTGCTGTGGTTAAAAGTTAGGAGCATCAGGGAAAGAGTCTGAATAATCTGTTTTGGAGATCTGGGGAGAAGATGGAATGTTTTCCTTCACTGGAACAACTCGATTTTATATTCTCTTTCCCGTGTATGTGTTCATGCAATGCCGGATGAGTAATACGCCCACCTTAAAAGACCACCAGAGACGTGAGTCAAAGCCAAGCGGCAAGGGTCGTTTATTGCAGGTTCCAACCTGGACCTCCGCTTACTCGTTACCGGTGGCGCTTAGAGGTCCCGGGCTGGGTAGGTTCAGGGTTTTTATAGACAGGTACAAACAAGTTTTGGGTGGGGCTGAGCCGATTGGTTGACATTTTGAACATTTGAAAAAGGCATATTTGGTGTTAGCTGATTGGTTTAGGGGGCCCGCGCGCGCGTTAAGCAATCGAACAGAAGCGGAACTGGCTGGTTAGCCCGCGGGCGGAAAAGCAAGCGTCGTACAGAAGCGAAACTAGCTGGTTAGCTTTCGGTTTCCCGATTCCCTAGATAGAATACGCTTTCAGTCTGGGGGTTCTTTTGGTCTCTCATTCCCCCCTTTCTCAAGTACCTGAGGAGCCAGTCTTGGGTCCTTAGTGGTCATTAGTATAATCGTTGATGTCGCGCAGGTCTGGGGGCTGATACTGCTGTCTTAAGAGCATGGCTTGTACTGTCTGGAGGCATTGATTGACGAAGGCTACCAGACGATTTAAGATACATGGGCCAAAAGTCAGTAAGAGGAGTAAGATACAGAGAGGTCCTAGCAGGGAGGATATCAAGGTAGTCAGCCAAGGGGATGAGTTAAACCATGACTGAAACCAGCCTTGTCCTAATTCACGCTCCTTTTTCCGCTTTGCTAATCCTTCCCGTACCTTAGCCATCGAGTCTTTAACTATCCCTGAATGATCAACATAGAAACAACATTCTTCCTTAAGGGCGGCGCATAAGCCTCCTTGTTGGAGGAACAGGAGGTCTAGTCCCCGTCTATTTTGAAGGACCACCTCTGATAATGAGCTGACAGACTCCTGAAGTTTAGAGATGGATAATTCTAGCTCTTGTATGTCTGCATCAATGGCTTCTCGTAAGCCTTGTTAATGGTGGTGTGAGATTAAGGCTGAGGCTCCGGTAGCCACCCTGGCAGTTCCTAGCCCTAGGCCCAGTATTAGCGCAAGGGTCAGGCTCACGGGTTCCCTCTTAGTTCTATGTGATCCTCCCTCCCAGTATGAGATCATGTCCTCATAAGGGTGGTAGATTAGGCGAGGGACAAGGTGAACCAGAACACAATAGTCATTGGTTCGGTTCAGCGCTGATGGATGAATGCATGGGGTAATTCCAGTAGCGCAGGCCCACCAGGCATCTCGGGGTGGTATTAGGTATTCATTTGTGGCATTTACAGTTATAGTCTGGTTGCAGAGGTGTGAATGTGCCGGCGGGACCAGCCCTATACAGGTTCCCTTTCCTCTTATGGCCGCCAGTGTTAGGCGATGGTTGTGGCTCAACCACCGGCACATAGAGGCCGAGTTGGAGCTATTATAGCTTCCAGAGATGGCCAGACCCTCATAAAAAGGGGGGGACACATCATAGCACAACCAGCAGGATTCTGTAGTGTTAGGATTAGTATAGTTTAAGACTTGAAAGGCATACTGAACCAGTTGGGTTAGACGAGTGCGGGTGTCCATTGGCTTAGGGCTTATGGTGGTTATGGTCTGATTTTTGAGGTATGGGGTGAGGTCAAGGTTGCCCTGGGAGTGGCGGGGCTCTTGCAGGGGCCCTGTGTGACAACTGGTGGGGTGAGAATAGGGTTGGGCCCTATTGCGGCTCTAGGGGTGTCTATGGACAGTTTTATAGTGAATGTTAGGCTGTCGTCGTAGTGTTCTTTAAAGAATCTGAGGCCCCACGAGTATCCCCTAACCCAATTGAATTGTTTTTTTCCTGTTTCGGTGAAGGAAATTTTTAGTGGGTTGCACCATTTGTTCTGGCAAGGACTCTCAGCTCCAACTCTGTTTGACACTACATGGGAGTAATTTGCCTTCACAGTTATAAAATCCCAGGTAGAAGTGGGTTTCCAATAAGTGTCACCAGTGGTTTCGCAACCCCAACTATAACAGTAGAAATCGCTCATCCCCCCACATTTATACGTTCTTCCCCTCTCTTGAAGGTTCCCGGGACTGGGACATACATAGAAGGTTAGTTTTCTTAACTTATATCTGCGTTGAGGATTTCCGCAACCGTAGATTGGGTGACCATGTAACCCTCCGCTGGCAGGTATTGTGGGTGGCTTCTGGAGGTCCCACTGGTCCGCTATGTCCCAGTTTGCTGGGGCCCCCAAGGCTATTTTACAAATGTCAGGGTATAAGTTAGGCCACCATGTGTAGGGAGTGGCAGTGTGTGATATATTCCAAACTGTTAGTCCTACACTATTAATGATTTGCCAGGTTAGAGTGGCTGGGGCATGGGGATTGGTCATGGGGGTCCAAGGCAGTGATAATAAGATCAGAACTGTGAGTAGGTTCCCCATGTCGGTTACTGAGGGGGAGGGTTTCAGCGCAGGGTGAGCTTTAGGGGATTGTCCTTACTGCGGTCAACCATCCAATTGGCGTCCGGGTTAGGTTTCCCGACGAGATCTGACAGGGGGTCGACTGGTTGTGGCGGGCCTGTCTTGTATAAATCCTTCAGTTTAGGCCAAATTCTTTTGTGGACCCGCTGCAGGGCTTGGAGGGAAAATAAGAGGGAGTTATCCTGGTCCAGCTCAACGAGATCGGTTTTGAGTTTGGGTATGATAGGAGGAGGCCTGCCATACATGGTTTCATATGGCGTGAGCCCCAGTTTGTAAGGGGTGTTGCGTACCCGATACAGAGCATAGGGGAGTAGAGCCACCCAGTTAGCGCCAGTCTCCATGGTCAATTTAACAAGGGTCTCTTTTAAGGTTCTATTCATCCTCTCACCTGTCCTGAGCTCTGGGGTCTATATCCACAATGTAATTTCCAATTAACCCCAAGTACGGAAGCCAGGCCCTGACTTACCTTAGAGACGAAGGCTGGCCCATTATCTGATCCCAACATAACAGGAAAGCCATACCTGGGCAGAATATCCTCCAGTAGTTTCTTTACTACAACCTGCATTCTTTCATGCTTGGTTGGGAAAGCCTCAGTCCATCCTGAAAAGGTATCTACAAACACCAGTAAATACTTATAGCCATATTTTCCAGGCTTTACCTCTGTAAAATCTATCTCCCAGTAGGCCCCCGGCAGGGTCCCTCTTTCTCGGGATCCGATCACAGCGAGACGTGGGTAAGCGTTCTGGAGCCGGCAGGCTGTACAACCTGAGGCAATTCTTTCGGCTTTTTCGGTGATGTTTTTGATGATCAACCTGGATTGCCTCATAAGGTCCTGGAGTCTTCTGGAGCCCAAATGGGTCGTGTGATGAATCCGCTCTAAGACTGCCTGTCCCAGGGCCTCGGGGAGGATGATGTTGTCCTTAGTGTCCCGCCACCAACCATCCTTGACCTGAGGCATCGGGAGTTTACTCATCCAGGTGATGTCTTCCTCAGAGTACTCGGGGCGAGGCGGCAGTTCTCGGGGCCCCGGGTTGGGTAGCTGTATGGGAAGCACTGGAATGTTCCTGTAGGCTATCTGGCGAGCAGTCTGGTCAGCAAAATTTTTCCCCGGGAGACCGGATCGTTTGGTTTCTGATGACCAGGGCAATGTACTATGGCTAGCTTCTTGGGAGCCCAGATGGCTGTTAGTAGGGCCAAAATTTCGTCCCTGTTTTTGATGTCTTTCCCTTTGGTGGTGAGTAGCCCCCTCTCCCTGTAAATTGCTCCATGAATGTGGGCCGTGGCAAAGGCATATCGGCTGTCTGTGTATACAGTCATCTGGAGGCCTTGCCCCAACTTAAGGGCCTGGGTCAGGGTGATTAACTCAGCCTTCTGTGCTGAGGTGCCCGGAGGCAATGCTTCCACCCAGATAACTTCTGTTTCAGATGTGACCACGGCCCCTGCGTGCCTCTGTCCTTCGTGGATGAAACTGCTGCCATCAGTGAACCAAACGACCTTGGCATCCATCAGGGGGTAGTCCTGAAGGTCTTCCCTCAGCCCGTGAACCTGGGCCAATATGTCGGCGCAGTCATGGAGGGGGGTGTCTAGGTCCGGGTCAGGTAACAGTAATGCGGGGTTTAGAGCCCGAGGGGGAGTATAAGTTATTTCAGGGGGTTTAGCAGCAGTCCTCGGTAGTGGACCATGCGAGCATTACTCATCCACCGGTCCGGAGGTTGTTTAAGGACGCCCTCAATAGCGTGAGGGGTGGTCACATGTAATTCCTGACCCATTGACAACTTATCGGTGTCTTTCACCATCAAGGCGGTGGCCGCTATCATTCAAAGGCAAGGGGGCCACCCTGCTGCCACTGGGTCTAATTTCTTTGAGAGATATGCTACGGGTCTAGGCCGGGGGCCTAAGTGTTGGGTCAATACTGCCTTTGCCACCCCATTACGCTCATCCACATATAAGTGGAATGGTTTAGAAATGTCTGGCAGTCCCAGAGCCGGTGCTGAGAGGAGGGCCTCCTTTATCTGTTGGAAGGCTCGCTCTGCCTCCTCTGTCCATTCAAAGTTCTGCTGGTTCTTGGAGGCTATGTACAGGGGCTTGGCCATCTCGGCGAAGCCCGGTGTCCATAGTTGGCAGTATCCTGCTGTTCCCAGGAACTCCCTTACCTGGCGTGACGAGGTAGGTTGGGGGATGCGGAGCACAGTGTCCTTGCGGGCATCGGTGAGCCATCTTTGTCCCCCTCTTAGCAGGTATCCCAGGTACACTACCTCAGGCTTGCAGATCTGGGCCTTCTTTGCTGAGGCCTGTACCCTAGGTCACCGAGTGTCTGAAGGAGGTATTTGGTTCCTTGAAGGCAGGCTTAGATCCTCGTGGAGGGGCTCATCAAACAGGGTGGGCGAGTTCATGAATCCTTGCGGGAGACGAGTCCATGTCAACTGCCCATTTATGCCTTTCTCAGGGTCTGTCCATTCGAACGCAAAGAGATCTTGGCTTTTGGGTGCCAAGGGCAAACTGAAAAAGGCATCCTTCAGGTCGAGAACAGTGTACCATTTCTTGTTAGGCCTCAGGGCACTGAGGAGAGTGTAGGGGTTAGGGACAGTAGGGTGTATGTCCATAACCCGCTTGTTAACTTCCCTCAGATCTTGTACAGGCCGGTAGTCCCCGCTGTTGGGTTTACGTACCGGCAGCAGGGGTGTGTTCCAAGCCGAGTGGCAGGGGCATAGCACCCCTGAGTTCAGGAGGCGATGGATGTGAGGGGTGATACCCGATTTAGCCTCAGTGGACATGGGGTACTGTTTGACCCGGACGGGGTCGGCCCCAGGTTTAAGTTCTATAAAGAGGGCCGGTCGGTGCTTAGCTAGTCCCACACCTCCTGTTTCCGCCCAGGCTTCAGGGAACCGGAGAAGCTAGGACTCGATATTTTGTTCCTGAGGGGGTGCTGTTTGGTGGAGCCGATACTCATCTTCCAAACGCACTGTAAATATCGATAATGACAGGTTCTGAGAGTCGGTCACTGGTGGGACTGAGAGTGGGACTGCCGGATTGGAAGTAAACGTGCACTCCCATTTTGGTGAGCAAGTCTCTCCCCAACAAGGGGCAGGGGCTATCAGGGATGACCAGGAAAGAGTGAGTCACTTTCCCTGTGCCCAAGTCCACTGTCCGTTGAGTGGTCCAGGGGTATCTTTTAGTCCCGGTGGCTCCCTGGACCCAGGACTTATCTGAGATCTTTCCATGGGGTTTGGTCAACACTGAGTGTTGGGCTCCAGTGTCAACCAGGAACTGTATGGGGTTCCCCTCCACTCGTAGGGTTACCCTGGGCTCGGGGAGGGGATCCGAACCCTGTCCCCCCTAGTCAGAGTTCCGGGTAAACAGAATGGGGTTGGGCTTTGGCTCCCATGGTTGCAGCCTAGCCCGCGGAGGGTTCCTTTTAGGGCAGCCACGTGCCCAGTGTCCCTTTTCCCTGCAATTTGCGCATTGGTCTTTATCTAGGGGACGTCTGGGTTGTCGGGCTATTTGGGATTCCCCTTGAGGGGTTGACTCCTTTTGGACGAAGGTAGCCAGGACTTTGGTCATCTCCTTTGCACTTTAAGCTGTTTATCCTCCGGGGTGTCCCGGTTGTTGTAGACCCGCTGTGCTATGTGGAGCAGATCCTGAACCTGCTTGCCTTCTAGAGCCTCTAATTTTTGGAGTTTTCTTTTAATGTCAGGGGCCGTCTGGTTTACAAAGGACATAACTACTGCTGCCTGATTCTCAGGGGCCTCGGGATCCATGGGGGTGTACTGTCTAAAGGCTTCCATCAATCTCTCTAGGAATGCTGCCGGGCTCTTTGTCTTACCTTGCATCACTGCATACACTTTGGCCAAATTGGTGGGCTTGTGAGCAGCAGCCCTGAGACCCACTATTAGAGTCTGGCGATAAATAAGCAGTCGTCTTCTACCTTCTGCCACGTTGTAGTCCCAGTCAGGCCTGGTCAAGGGGAAACCCGCATTAATGAGGTCTGGATTGACCGTTGGCCGGCCATCGTCCCTGGGGACCAGCTTTCTCGCCTCCACCTGGATCCTCTCTCTTTCCTCGGTGGTAAACAGAGCTGCTGGCAGTCATCCCAGGTGGGCTGGTGTGTGAACCTGATGCTGTCTAGGAGAGCTATAAGATCTTTCGGGTTATCTGAAAATCGCACATTCTGAGTTTTCCAATTATACAGATCACTGGTTGAAAAGGGCCAATACTGGAGTCGGGGATTGCCAGTATCATGGGGGGGGGCAATCTCCCGGAGGGGTAAAGCAACAGTTGAGTCCGGCGGGCGGGGAGGGTTCTCCCTTTGAGAGGGCCCTCTAGTGGGCCATCCCACCCCGTAGGTTGGCCATTCGGAGCGGCAAAAAGTGATGAGTCTAGATCTCCGGATATCCAGGCTCAGGTCATTGCCTCTCGCCCGAACGTCCCTGAAATTAGCCAAGAGGAGGGAGAGTGGGGTACTCTGGGTTTGCCCCATTTGACCAGGTAGCTCCCAGATTAAGAAAATAGTTAAAACGAGGAGAAAGGCGCCTAGAATAGGAAGGAAGCAACAGAGGCACCGGTGCAAGGGTTGCGAGACAACCGAGCAAGTGAGGAATTCGAAAGGGCGGGGTGAGGATGAACGCTCCCGAAGGGATGGATAATGGCCTTCGGAGGGCTGAAGGTAGGGGCTAGGCGAGTTCCATCCTCGAACAGTGGGAGTAGGAATTCTTCTCCTTCGTCTGCCGGGGTGAATCTAAAAGTGAAACAGGTTAGGAGACACGAATAATTTGGGAAAAAGTTTCCTCCAACCTGGAGGGGCAAACGTTAGAGAACCAGCAATGTTTAAGACAAAACATTAGGAGACATAACATTCATTTAGTCCCATGTTACTAAATCTGGTTTAGTCCGAATGCAACTTTTAGATACCAGTGTCTTTCTTCCCTCCCATCGTGCACGAAGTCGCAGACAAAGGGAGGAGGATCTCTCAGATGCTGTCCTGCTTGCGTCCCTCGCGGGAACTTAGGAGCATCTTAGCTAAGGTCTGTCCGTATAAACCCCGGACCAGGCTACTCCGTGGAGTAGATGACGGTTATGCCATATGATGCCCGGAGAGACTCAGGGTGCAGCCCACTCAGACTCCGGAGCCGAAGCGGTGGAGCCATACAGGCACACTCGCACAGTCAGGCACTCTTCAGATTCAAACAGGTTGGACACCCTCCCCTTTAATAGAATAAAAGCTTCACATCTACTGTTGTAACTTAGTTAACTGGCACAAGGGACACGGAACACATAATTAACAACACAACATGGAGACATACTACACTTATGATGGCCCCCGAGGTGGGACTCAACCGACGATCCCTGAGAGGCCCCTGCTGGGCAACGAGGGACGTCTCTGTCGGCCCACTGGCAGCCCTATAGCGCATCCGCCAGGGGCTTATTTGCCAGTCCTCTATCTGGGACTCCAACCCAGATACAGAAAGCAGAAAGGACAACGCACAAAAACAGAACACAAGAACAAAGCACAAAAAACAGAACACAGGAACAAAGCCGGCTTTCTTACCGATCGGTTTCCAACGACCCGTTGACTAGTTGTCTGGTGGGCTTGAAAAGGGGGGGGGTATCCCGGACGAGCCCCCAAATGCAATGCCGGATGAGTAATACGCCCACCTTAAAAGACCACCAGAGACGTGAGTCAAAGCCAAGCGGCAAGGGTCGTTTATCGCAGGTTCGAACCTGGACCTCCGCTCATTGCAGGTTCGAACCTGGACCTCCGCTCACTTGTTACCGGTGACGCTTAGAGGTCCCGGGCTGGGTAGGTTCAGGGTTTTTATAGACAGGTACAAACAAATTTTGGGTGGGGCTGAGCCAATTGGTTGACATTTTGAACATTTGAAAAAGGCATATTTGGTGTTAGCTGATTGGTTTAGGGGGCCCGCGCGCGCGTTAAGCAATCGAACAGAAGCGGAACTGGCTGGTTAGCCCGCGGGCGGAAAAGCAAGCGTCGTACAGAGGCGAAACTAGCTGGTTAGCTTTCGGTTTCCCGATTCCCTAGATAGAATACGCTTTCAGTCTGGGGGTTCTTTTGGTCTCTCATTCACGGTTTACTTCTTTCCCTGGCTGCCTTCACGGATGGGAGGTGGAGCAGGACTCAGTTTGCGGTTTTCTATGCGTGTCTGTTTCCTCTGGATAACTCTCTGGAGGACAAGGATTTGGCGGTGGGGGTTGGTGAACACCTAGGAGCCAACGGAATAATTTATTAGCCCGGTGCGTTTCTAGCTAAGCATGCGGCCAGGAGGTTCAGCACTGGCGTTGGCTGGCTGGAGCGTCTGGGTAAGCGTGCCCCTTTCTAAACATTCTACGACATGTGATTACCGCAGCAGGACGTCCTTTTGTCTCCAGGGTGGGTCTGGGGACCAGCAGACCCCTCAGGACTTGGAGTTCGTGCCTCCCGGAGCTTGAACTGAAACACCCGGCTGAGATCCGCCCGGGGTTCCTCCCTCCTGCAAACGACTGATACTTACTGCAGCTGCCCGCGTTTTCCGCACTCTCCTGGCGCCGCTCTGTCCCCGAAGAGGCAGCGGCCCACCTAGCCCGCACGTCCCGTAGCCTTACCTCCGTGCCGCCCTTCCCACCCCAGTAAAATGTTCTCGGCGCCCAGAAGCCGCCGCTGAAGGGGCGCGGCTGCGGGCGGAGAGGGAGGGAGCCCGGCGGCCGAGCGCCGCGGCACCGGCTCCAGCAGGCGCGCACGCGGCTCGCCCCGCCTAGGACACTAATGGAGCGTCCCTAAGAGACCCCAGCTCCAGCGTTCTCCCCCACCTCCAGGCCCCCAGGTGAGACTAAAACAAAGCGACAGCCCCCTGCGACCGGCAGCCAGCCCCGTCTGCCCGCCTGCAGAAGGGGGCTCGCAAGCAGGCTCCTAAGCCCGGAATCCGACCGGAATCTTGGGCACGTTTTGTTTTGTGGAAAGAAATGTTGTCATCACCGTTTTCCTTTGTTTTCCAGTCGTTTCTTTTCTGGTGGTAACTTAAAAACATTTCCTCGGGGGACGGGGCGAGGAAAGTCGGATATAAATGTTTACAAGTGCAAAGCCCTCGGGCTGAATGCAGTGTGGGCGACTTCACAAATGCCTCCTCCTAACCAGGTTACCCAGGCGAGGCTTCCTAGGGCCTCCTAAGAATGGTGGCGGAGAGCCAAGGGTACACACGGGATGCCGCGATTTGTGGGGGTCTGTTTCAGCATTTATATTTAAATATCTTTCCCTCTAAGAATTTTTAATTGGAGATTTCGCCTTGAGGTGCTCCAATAAATCAGAGAAGGAGCCAAACCTAGTTATTTCGCTTCGTAACCAAGCTTTATTTCAGGGCTTTCTTTGCCCTGCCGTTCCTGCCCCGAAGCGATCTGTAAAGCGAACCCACTCTGATACAGTTTGAAAAGTGCATTTTGTACTTGGCTCTTTCTTTGATCGAATTAATCTGGGCTTTTTTGTAGTTCTAAATGAGGCCTATGGGCTGACAATGTAGCTGTTTAAAGGGGATTTTAGGGGATAATAGCCAATGCAAATAGTGCCATGAGAATGGCAACTTGCTTTTGCACTTTCAATCACATAATAACAGCAAAGAAAGCTTTTAAAATGAATTGAAATTTTGTGGCATGCCATCTGGGATTATTTGGGGAAACAGTTCTGAATACTGCAGTTGGGCGAAAGAATGGTGGTACGGCCCGCTCTTAAGCTGACATGTTTCAGATGGCAACCTTATGCTAACTGGCGCAAAGTTGGCTAGCATTTTTTTTAAATTTTATTATTTTCTTTCTCTCGGATTATCTGCAAAAATTCTCTTTGATTGCTGGTATTTGGGTCTGAAAAACTTTTCTATTGTTGAAGAATTCAATTCAACCCCTTGCAGCTGCTGATCCCCTCATTGTTCCACTCGTTATGTGTATGCGTCTCAGATGAATGTAGCCAAGCCTTTTAGTGCCTTAATAGGTGTCTACATAAAGGTCATTTATTCTGCCGTCCTTGTTTTAACAAAAGTTTATACACAAACAACAACCACAGCTAAAACATTCACATTAATCAATTTCCTCCTAATGCAAAATGCAAAAACTGCCTCAGGCCGTGGCCGGGGCATGAAAAATGTTTGCTGTGTATGATGTTGTAAAGCAGAAAGTTTAAGTGATTTTTTTGTCGAGGGCAAAGCATAATGATTTCCCCACCATTTCTAGCTGAGAGCGCCGGTCCTGGGCTTCTGTGTGTGTGTGTGTAGCTCTGGTCAGGTTACAGGAAGGGCAGAGAGGTGCTTCAGATGCAGGGGGCTGAGGCTTCAGTTTTTCCCTTGATGTTCTCACTGGTTTGGGGGCTGTTCTCCGGAAACTTCTGCTATTGTCTCTGCAGGGAAGGACGGGTGGGTGATACTAGAATCTGGAGAAACTTGCATAAAGGTATCTAGAATTTGCCAAAAAACAAAAAACAAAACACCAAAACAACAACAACAACAACAACAACAACAACAAGTAAGTGATTTCCTCGCAAGTGGAGGTCCCCATGCCATACAAAAGAAAAGACAACCACAGCCACTTCCTCCCATCTGCAACCCCACGGGGGCTGCTTTTAGGTTGAAGGCAATGGTGACAAGAACAGCTTCCCACGGCAAGTGCCTGTGAGGGTGCCCTAGGCTAAGGAACATCCAGTGGGGCGGGGTGGCGGGTGGGGTGGGGTGGGGTTGGTTTACAAGCGAGCGAGAGCCAGGGTACCTAAGGGATCTTGGTGCTTGGGGGGGGATTGCCTAGCAAGCACAGTGGACGTCATGTGGGAATTACAGAACTCTGGCCACGTGGGGGAGGGAGCGAGGAGGCCCACCCACCCAGCCTTGCTGAGCAAACCCCAAAGAGCTTGCTTCAGCCCTGTGATTCTGAGAAGGGGGCACATTCTTTGATCCTTCTCAGGATGATACATAGTAACTGATCACAGCCCTAAATTCACCCAGATCCCTCCGGAAGTAAATAGAAACACTATTTGGCCTCTACAGGTTTTTCCTCCAGGCCCTGTCAGTTTGCCTGCTTAAGGTTTAGACTTGGTGAGTTAAGGATTCAAGTCCTTAGATGCTTTGGGGGTTTTGTGAAGGTTAAAAAAGCTCTGACATTTGGCCTCAGGGTGTGGCCACCCCTTCCCCAACCCTTCTCCAGGGGGCTTTTCCTTTCATAGGCTCTGTCAGGTCCCACAGGGACCTCTGAGCCTCTTGGGTTCCATGGGGCTTTTAAACTTTAAAGAGGTGCAAAGGACCTGGGGTCTTCTTAAAATGCACACTGTGATTCTGCCGCTCTGGGATGGGGCCTGAAAATCTGCATTTCTGATGAGCTCCCCGTGATGCTGCTGAGGGGCTGGATTTCAACTCCCAAAGAGATGAGGTACCGCTCTTGCTGTCCCACAGCCTAATTACCCATCTGTAAAATGATGGTGATAAAAATGCCCATTGAGGCAATCAGGGATTTCTT